TAAGGAGGCGATGTTTCCTGAGGAAGTTGCGGCGTGGACCGAGCTCCCTCTGCACCAAGTGGCCTGCCGTGCCGTTACTCATGCCATGGTGGTAAGTGATCCCTTCTTTAGAGCTCGGCTTCTAGTTTTTTTCATTCGTTTCTCTGATCTCGTTTTCTTTTGATAGGTGAACTCCTCCATTCACGCCTTGGAGAACTCCTCCATAACAGATCCCTTCTGTAGTGATTGAACTGAACTTATTTTCTTTTTTTCCTGACCAGGTCCATTTGGATTTTGTATATGAATTCCTTTCCAACTTGTTTTTTTTTTCCTTTTTTTAAAAGCATTTTTAGGATTTTCCTTTTTTTGAAATCATAGAAACAAATAAAACCAGGTGTAGAGAAATAATTACTGTAGGATAAATTACTTGGGAGTTCAGAGTCTATGTTCCTTACATCTTCAGAAGCAAGGTCTCCTGTTAAAGAACCTGAATCATCAGCATCCAAATCCATATTTGCATTTTCGCCAATTCCAAGCCCTTCCTCAGCGTCCTTAAAACTATCTTCTTCTCTTGTTGCCTCCAAATTAATCAGTTTGTTGATATTAAACATTTCATTTTCATTTTCAAAAGCATTCCTTTCTCTTTGGAAATTTTTTGTCTCCCATATTCGAGCCGACTCAGAGATTGAACCACGATTGATTCCACTGGGTTGGCTTAGTTTCATTCTTTTTGTCGGTCCAACCCAATTAGTCTCATTTTCAGTTTGGCTTTTTGAGAGATCCTGAATCACCACTCCACTCGATCTTTTCCTATGTTGTCCCACATAACTTCCATAATATCCTTCTCATTTGTTACCTTTTCTTTCCCTTTGTTCTTCCTATTAAGATTTCTGTAGATTTCAATATCTTCAGTATCTATCAAAGCCATTGGGCTTCTTTTACTTCCAACGTCAGGGCCAATTCCAATCTTTTCGAAATGAAGTATGAAATGACTCGAGCCTACCTGCCCCGCCTCCACTTCTATCAACAACCGCCTCTACTTTTACACCGCTTGTACTTTGTCTAAGATCCTTCTCTCCAGCACCTCACATTACCTTTTTCGGTGAGATCAGTAGCCGATATTGATGTTCTCCAGTGATCACGTCATGGATACCGATCGTTCGATTTTCTAACTACTCCTGGAAGAGTCTTCTTATGATCGAGAAACCTACCCCACTTCTCTCACCTCTCTCAGAGCCACTCCTTCTGGCGATATTGCCCATTTAGCAACTTTGTCTCCTTCTCCCAGCAGCAATTGGGTTCTCCTCGGGTCCTTCCCCATTGTTCCAAAGGAGTTGTGTTCTTTTTCTTGCTTTTTGTCTAGATCATTTCTCCTTCTATTGATGAACTTGAACTAATCGCAATCCATATCATCTCTGAGGTGATAACCCAGCACTCCTTTTTTTTCTTCCCTCTGAAAGGATTGGTTTCCCATCCTATTTGTCAGTTGGTTGACCATATTTTCCTCTGAGACCAGATTACAACTTCCTTTCTCATGACCTAGGATGCCGCACCTAGCACAAAAGATTGGAAGTTCTTGTACTTGAAGTCATACCATGTCTCGGTTCCGTCTTCATTTTTCTCGGACGTACTTGGAAGGATCGGTTGTCCAATATTTAGACGATCTTTGATTTGAAAAAGCCTATTCCACATTGGTTGACTATCCTCATGGTCCTCATCCTCGGTGGGGTTCTTGATTGGTTGTCCTAGACACTTAACCAAGTTTGCACCCCAACTCTAGGTCGTCTTTTTCGGCGGAACTCCAAGCATTCGAACATTCATGCAGAGTCAGCATTTGGAAATCATTTCCGAAACAGTATTGGATACCCTCTTATCAACCACGGCTCTTGATTCAGAAACTCCTTTAAATCTTTAGTCTTCTTGAAATAAATCCACAAAATTTCCTTGGTGAGCCACTCCACTTCCTACTTGTTATTCTCCCATAAATTTCTTACCTTTTGCCGCACTCCATGAGCATTCATCTGTTTGTCTGATAATATACCTTCCCGAATAAATCTTTCCCACATCTTGCTTCCATGCTTCCTTTGTTGCGAAATGACTTCGATCCAACTTCAGTTTCCTTCCACCTCTTTCCACCTAACAAGGATTACACAATAACTGTCTCAAATCTATAATTACACTGACTAGCTTGATGGAAGAGAAAAAATTGAAAGGTGCATTTAAAGCACATTCGGAGCGCATTTTGAAGGAGACAAAAATACTTATTGAACAGCCACTAAAAACAATCGGAATACGTGATTTACCTGAAAACGGAAGAGAGCTTAATAATTGAATAGATCTTCCATTTCCATCTTAATAAAATTTTTTCATGAGGTTGAATAGATCTTCATCTTAACAAAGTTTTTTTTTATGACTAAATTAGACTTTTAAAAAGTTTATAGCATTACATCAACGTTTTCTGTTAAAAAAATTAACAGAAATGTCAGAAAAATTATTTAATAAAGGGATTTGCATATTTATTTGAAGGGAAAATGAATGATGAAGGAAGATTTTTGTTTTATAGGTCAAAACAGATGGAAAGTTAGGGTAATTTCTCCACATATAAACCTTAGGTTGGGCTGCGAAATGCCCAGCATGTGTCCAAATTTTGCTTTGTATAGTAAGTTTATGCATGTGAAATAGGCACGTAGCTATGGCAGCCTTTCATGAAAGTACATTTTTTTCGGTATTAATCACTACCAAATTGAATAGGACAACATCGCACCAAACAGCTCTTTTCTTGTTAAAATGATAATAGAGGAATCAGAAATTACACTACCGATGGAACAATTCATCTAGCGCACCAAATGGGCTGCTCCTCAGTTGGTAAGTCCATAATCCATTTGCATATGCATCTCATACTCCATATCACTCCAATGAAACTTCATTATAATGTGGGACCCTAATTTTATTTTCTCATATCACGGTCAAGGTAGGGATAAAATTGTACAATCAAACATATTGGCAAAGCATATATGATAGAACACTTGAAAAGTAAAAAACATAAACATGCACAACCACGGAAATAAACTTTATTGGAAACAGCCAAAAAGTGACAGAATTTCAATAAAGGTAACATAGTGCATTTAAGTTAGAAGAAATTAAAATTGGTGTAAAAATAGATATTACAAATAAACAAATTTTCTTTATGTTTGCATTCAATTAAGAACGTAATAAAACATTAAACTTTACAGCAAAGGATGGGTTAAAACTTGGAAATTAAGGGTGGAATCATGTTGGGCTATTGTCAAAATTTGGATGAACAAGACCTGAAAGCCTAAACCCAAGTAGTGTAAAATACTAATTCGGGCCAATCCAAAAAAAACTTTTTTGAAGTCAAAGAATGACATTGGATCGCCTGATCAGGACATGCTTGTTGAATCGAAGGGGGGTGCTTCACAAAATGAATGTTTTTCTTTTCATTTGTTTTTGTCTTTTTAAAATTGTCTCATCAACAAAAAGCAAAAGCATGTTTTTGAACCGTATTTTTTCTTAGGTAAATTTCTTAAATTATCTTTATAATTTAGTTAATTGACTAAATGTATCCTTACTAAAACTCAATGCTACCCTTATCCCCTTCCTCCTCCAACCTCTCTCTCTTCTCTCTATGGTTCCTAGGAGAAGGGCTTCTATGAAGGACCAGCTACCAAAGTTAAAAGGTCGAGGGCGTAGGATCCGGATGTCGGTGAGACAATTCAGTGGCTCCTTGAACACGCTGAACCTGCCATCATGACTGCTACAGGTACCGGTATTGTGCCTGCCATCGCCATGTCCATCGGTAGCACACTTAAGATTCCAACCACGTCTTCGACTTTTGACGGGGACACGACAAAAAAGAAGAGAAAGCAGTCCGCATCCAGTGAATATTATGACGTTAGCGATGGAGTCTCCATTTCTTCAGGTCTCGCTCCTATAGGAGCCACAACAGTTCCGCAACAGTTGCTGAGGCATTGCCCTGTAACTCCACCCAGCGGCAGGTGGGTGGAGTAAAAACTATTGGAGAGAGAAAGAGGTAGAGTAGAAAATTATTCAAGAAGGACGACGAGGGAGGACTGATTAGTGTGGTGGATTAATGGGGGGAGAGTTGCCGAGGGTGTTAGATAGGAGGGTGGGAGTGCCGGAGGTGTACGAGAGGCGGAGGCAGTGGAGCTAACTGCACAAGTGGCGGTAAAGTGCATGAGCTTCGAGGGAAGCGATCGCCCGACGATGGCAGACATTGTGACAAATTTGGAGAATGCATTGAGTCTCGGCCACCAAATTCTCTCAGAGGTGAGACCCAATGAACCTGTCCTCTGCTCCAATCTTCTTCTCTGGCGAGAAGCCATCGGTGGCCGCTGCAAGCTCCGATAGGGCGAATTCCTCGGCCTTATCCTCATGCTTCGAAGAGGTCCCACTCCTCTACCGCATAACTTCTTGGGAACCTTCCCGCCTAATGGTGGATGATCTCGATAGAGCACTCAATGGACCACTGTTTGTTGGCGTGCCAACATTAGCATTGCCTCCGTTTATGGTGGGTTTAACGGAATTATGAACTTTTTCTATTGGCAACAGCATATTCCAGCTCACAAGCTGTAGATAAGAGCAAGGTTTTTAAAACGACCCGGGGATTGAACCGGTCAGGGGTTCGGTTCCCGGGTCGAATGGTCGGCCTGTTCTGATAAAAAATAAAAAACCGTCAAAACCGTTTGAACAGTTCAAACGATTAATCGCCTGAGTCAGCGATTTGCTAACCAAAATTAACGGTTTTAAGAAAAAATCTGATTTTGGGGAAAAGCGAATCTGTCACTTAACCAGTTCCTGATTTTTTCGTTCCAACCGTTTGGTCTGATATGGCTTTGAAAACCATGGATAAGAGTACATGCTCCCAAAAAGATCCCAACTAATCCTATAACGGCAATAGCCAATAAACCCTTGCTCATCTTTTTTGACTACGACTGTTATGCTGTTATGCTGGTGGTGGCAATACTAATGCTAGTGGCGGTACTTTGCCATGAAAGAGACTGTGGCGGTACAAGCGACACTAATAATTTAAAGAAGAATGATGGGCAAATTAGTTTTTTTAATGCTTCCGTTAATAGATATTAATGATAAGAAAGATTTAGTCAATTGTTAAAAATAATAGAGGTACTTTAAGACAATATTGAAACAGTAGGGTATAGTTAGTCAATTTCTTAAACCTTAAGGTAATTTAAGAAATTTGCCCTATTATTTTGTTTTGAAAAGCAAAAAAAAAAAGAAAAAAAAGTAACGTTATATTTCAAAAGAATAATATATGTTTTTGAAACATCTAATTAAGACTATTAATGAAGTTATTTCCATATATGCTTCTAAAGCGACAATTACCCATCATTGGTTGACGTTGAATTCATATAGGACCGTCAATTAGGACCGTAAGTGTTAATAGATTGACTTCAATCCATTTAAATTAGATTTGGATGTTCAATTAGGGGTGTTCTATAATGTGAATGAGAAATTGGTGGGTGTGGTCCACACCACACCCTATGGCAGAGATCAATCCACACCACACCACAGTTCACAGTTGTTCTGAATTGTGGACAAAGTGTGTGGACTGGACCAGTCCACACCCATAGTGACGTTATGTAGTGTGCATGTATCTCATGTACACTTTATGAATGATCTACACCAACATTTTAAAAAACGACCTACAAAAGAAACCGTTCTGGCCATCGGTTTCCGGGTTGATGGTCCGACTGTTTGATTCGACCGGATGGCCTGTTCTAACAAACAAATTAAAAAATTAAAAAATAATTAAAAATAAAAAATGGTAAAAAACCATTGAATGGGTTGATGGTTTGACCGCTTGGGTCAACGGGTTGTTGACTTTTTCAATGGTTTTTAGCCAAAAATCGGGTTTGGGGTAAAATGGAACCACTTGCTTGGATGGTTCCCAGGCTGAACTGTACGACCATCTAGGTCAACGGCAGTTCGAAACCCTTGATCTACATAGTTAATCATAAATATCTAATTTTTACATTTTATATGATAAATATATTGAAAAATGTATCAATGAATTAATATTAACCAATAAATATTATTTTTTATAAAGACAATAGTAAAATAATTAAAATTTTAAAAAATATATTTATTGCATGTAGGGGGTGATAATGGGTCGGGCTTAGCACCTGTAATAAGGGTTATAGCATAGCTCGGGTTGGTTTAGCATATCTAATTAGGGTTCTAGGGTGTCAATGGACTAGTTTTGGGTTGGACCTTGTCTAAATCAAAATCAGTTTGGTTGGATTAGACAGACCAATAACACATATCAAATTGGACCAATCTAGACTTAATGATTCAAAGTATTTATTGGATTGGATTGAACCTAGGAATGGCAATGGGGTGGAGTAGGGATGGGGAGTGGCTCTCGGTCCCCGTCCCCACGAAAAGCCCTATTCTCACCCTATCTCCATCCCCGCTGGTGGGAATAGGGTTATCCCCATCCTTGTCCCCACAAAGATTCCCACTCCCCCTGATTTTGTTATGATATCAATAATTTTGTTTTTATTTTCTATTTTATTTAAAAAATTTTAAATAAAATAATTAAAATCTATAGTCCTATTAAACAAGGATCAGGGGCCCTGTGGGTCAATGGGGATGAAAATTTCCCTATCCCCATCCCCACGGGGATCGGAGAAATGGAGAAAATTTCCATCCCTAATTGGACCTGGTCCATTTGTAATAGATTTATACTGGATTGGGTCAGATTGAACTAATATCTAATCTATTAAAACATGGGTATCAATCTAATCAGGTTTGGGTTGGAATTAATTTAAATTAATATAAATATGAACAGATTGAACGGTCTAAACATTAAATTAGACTGATCCAAAATGTTCAAAATATTCATCAGATTGGATTGGACCTAATCCATTTGTAAGGATTCAAATTGGTCTAGATTGGATTGGACCCAATCAGTTCAATTGAGACCCCTATGTGAGACTAGGCCAGTCCTGAACACAAACCTCAATTCCCAGGCTGAAAATGATAATCCCTAGTTGCATCCAGTAATTATTTTTTTCTTAATACCATACTTGGAAGGTTAAGCTCTTAAGCTAAGACGCCAAATGTATTGCTTAGGCAGTTAGACCATGGCTAGTGGCTACAGCTCGAAGGAATTGGGATCTGCTCCTCGTACAGTGCTCCTCACACTGATTTTACAGTTATATCCCACCTTGTATTAGGAGAGACCCAATCAGCCCCCCATAATGTCCCACACAACATCTCCGCCGTGTATTAGGAACATTTCTCGATAATAATATTATTATTTCTGATATTATTATTAAAAGAGGTTTTTAATACACGACGAAAATGTACTGTGGGACGTTCGTCCACCAGGCTTTATCAATTTGCAAATTCTTCCTCAGCTAGTTAAAAGAATGATCCTTTTCCTTCTTCTTGTTGTTGGATATCTCGTTCGTACACATCTTCTCTTTGTTTCCCGAGCCTCTAGTGAGTTACAT